AACACTTTTTCTAATTATTGTCATATCTGGAAATTAAATATAAACTTTTGATAAAACAAAAGTAATGGTATTTGGTGATAAAAGAAATAGAAACAGGAATATTACGGTAGATAATCAAGTTTTAGAGATCGTAGGACACGTTTAAATATCTTGGTGTAGTTTTTTCTAAGAACAGACAATTTGCGGTTGCAAAGAAACCATATTGTGGATCAAGCAAGACGGGCAATGTTTGGTTTATATAAGAAAATAAGAAATCTAGATTTACCTATTGATTGTCAGTTAAAGTTATTCGATCATACAATTGTACCAATTTTAACTTATGGGTGTGAAGTGGGTGGGGTTATGGTGACTTGTCGCTTATAGAAAAAGTTGCATACAGATTTCCTTAAATATGTATTACGTGTTAAGAAAAGTACACCGCATGTTATGGTTTATGGCGAAACTTGGGCGATTTCCACTATCAATTATTATTAAGAAAACGAATTGCTGGTTATTGGTATGATTTAGTTAACAGTAATTCACTACAAAAATTATCGTCAAATATTTATAAGCTTGTATATGAAGATTTTGTAAGAAATGGTAAGGAGTACAAATGGTTATTGAATGTTAAGAGCATTTTTGACGAAACAGGTATGAGTTATATTTGGTTAAATCAGAAGTTTAGTGGTTCTAAATGCTTATTGTTAAAAACCATTGATATATCAATGTGTAACCAATATGTACAAAAATGGCGTAGTGATGTCGACTCAATGCCAAAATGTTTAAATTATAGAATGTACAAAACTGATCATTGCTTTGAAACCGTACCTTTGTCTACTGTCAGACAAATATTTAAAAACATTTGTTAATTTTTCGATTGTGTAACAATCTCCTCCCTATAGAAAGAGAGAAGGTGGTTAGGTATTGTTAGAAATGAAAGAAAATGTAGTCTTTGTAACTCAAATGATATAGGTGATGAATTCCATTACATTTTTCATGTAGTTATTTTGAAAATAAACGAAAACGACTTTTACCACAAATTAATCAACAAAACAAAAAATATGTTTACGTTTAGAAAATTAATGAATGAAACAGATCCACAAAAATTAAGCAACTTAGTTAAATATGTTTATGTTATACTTGAATACTTTAAGAACCCACCTGGCTAGTCACTTTTTTTTTTTTTTTTTTTTTTTTTTTTTTTTTTTTTTTTTTTAATTCTATAAATATTTTTCTATTTTGCAAAATATAGCATGTACACAATGACATAGTTACATTGTATGTTATGAAATATTGTAGTTATAAATACTTTTTTAAAACTACTGTAGTTCATATTTTTCTATTTTGCAAAATATAGCATGTACACAATGACATAGTTACATTGTATGTTATGAAATATTGTAGTTATAAATACTTTTTTAAAACTACTGTAGTTCATTTAATTTGTATACACAACCTGATTACACATTTATTAATTTTGTTTATATATTATTGTACACCTCTTATCATATGTAAATATGCTGAGTGAATCAATAAAACTTGAAACTTGAAACTTGAATTATTAGCTCCATTTGCCTACAGCATAATCAGCATATTGAATGAATGACAATGGATTTTGATATGTCACGAATAAACACGATACATGAAGAGTTAAATGTTCACTTTTAAAATCATACACACAACAAAAAGATAACAATAATTGTTACAGATACTAAACCGAACATTTTTCAGTGTAAATATTCAGGAATACGTACACAATACCTGTCTATTATTATGCAAGAAACGTTGTTTTAATGTTTAAAGCAAATATTATTTGTTTAAAGCAAATAAACTGTATTGTATTGTTTATAATACCACATACTAAATAAAATTATTGCCATGTTTATAATGAAGGTTTTTCCTTTTTTGACTTTGTTTAACACTGGAAATGATTTAAACAATTTAAGTATTTTTATACATGTACATTAGTGAGTAGTACGCACGTGATATGCAAAGTTTCTTGTTCCCCGCTATTCGGTATCCAGTGTCACACATGCACGTGTCATTCAAACAAACAGATTGCGGAATATATCTTCCACACGTGCAATTCCCTTCGCACTCATTGTTTAAACCACAACTGCCCAATAGGCGTTTGACTGGAATAAAGACACAATTATTAAAAGTTATTGAAAGTATATCACTATTTCTTGCCAACATCTTAATACTAACTGAGATTATCCAAACAACTTACTTAATATATGTCAAGATATCACTTACACATATAAGATATATAAGATGTAATTCATACACATATACATGTTTTGTATGCTTTAAACTGCTAAGAAAACATTCATTCATACACTACTTTTTATGCTAATAAAAATATCATACATTCCAAAGAATCTTTCGCAAAATGGTATTAATTATACAATAAAGTGATAGTTAACACAATTACAGTTGTATATATATGTAGTACAAATAATTAGATGTAATGTAATTGACATTTTTGAAAAATTACATAACGGTCATAACTTCATGGATCAATTCTTTATTGTTTCTTTTTCTAGGCATTACTAGTTGTATTATAGCCACCACTAGACACATCTAAGTAATAGAAAGAGCACCGAAACACGAGGCTATTTGATTTGTGCGAGGGGGCTTAGCCCCCTATTAATCAGATTGCCGAGTGTTTTGGTGTTCTTTCTCTTTTGTATCATAGTCAAACATAAAAGCACGTTCCCTGTTGTCACAATATGAAACCCCGGCAAAAATGAACCAATGAACGAACATCTGAATATGACATTTCTGTCGCCTTCCCTTTCTCTGTCGTCACAATATGTAAACCCCAGCAAAAATGAGCCAATCAATGGGCATGCTCTGGAGTACTCCAGTTAACGCACTGTGCATGTATATGTATACGATTTAACCCTGACACATTTTCAACAGAAAGGTCTCCAAACTATGATACAAACTATCATTATTAGTCACAATAAGGGTTTTATCTCCAATACCTTCATCGGAAGCATCAGGACAATCTGTGACGCCATCATTTAAATTTGACATGTTGATGCAAATAACTGGGGTGCTTTTGCATGAATATAGTGGCGGTGTACATGGGAAGCGCACTGAAATAATATATTTAAGAAAAATAACACTTGTTTTTATAAATAAAATGCTTTAAATATAAATGATATATGCCGTTGCATACAGTTAAATCTGTCAAAGAAATATATTTTTTTTCAAAAACAGAACGTTATGAACAAGTCACAGAAATGCAATAAAAATTTCTAATTCAATTTAATGTTTCTAACCTAACCCACTAAAAAAACCTGAATACAAGACCTAGTATTAGTAATCAGATCTGGTTGACTAAAAACATTAATTTGATTTCAGGATTTTTAACATTAATTTCTACATTTATACAATTTTCGAAACAACCTTCGTCTGAGTTATCCCCGCAGTCATTAATGCCGTCATCAAATTTCTTCTTGTGTATACATTTCCCATTTGCACAGTTTCCATGAGTAGTTTTACACCAGAGTCTATGGTCTGTTTCTATAGAATAATGAAAATAAGAATTTGTATAAGTTTAAGATAGGACGTTTGACTTTATTTAAATACTATGTATATATTAAACTTTAAAAGTAAAATTTCCATGGTACACCATTAATTTAGTCATAACTTAGCCTTCGTTTTATTTAAGGTGTAAAATTGTAGACGGGTTGACGAAATAAATTTTGGAAAGGGAAAATTTGAATGAAAAACTAAAAGTCGAAAATCGAAACTCAAGTTTCATAGAGATAAAATGAAAACTTTCTTGCTGTTGTAACCACACATTGGTAATATATATAACAAAGGCCAACGGATATGCCTAATGTTAGTACATTCAATGTATGTAAAGCGAGACAAAAAGACAAAAAGATGTAACCATATTACATCAACCTTAGATATCATAATTATAAATCATAAATATCATCGGATTGCAGGCTGGTTGGGTTCTATTCCCGTCAGTGACAAGCCCTCAATGTTTAGTACTTGTTGATTCCTAGTATACACACTCGAACTTGATAAATTCTATAATTATAATCGAAATCAAAAAGAGTTTTGGCAAACTGATTATAACATATCATAATACTTAAAATTTGACATTTTGACATTGTTTTCTGGGAAAATAGCAAATGCTTAAAAAATAAACAATTATATAAATTTTGCATATAAGTCTGAAACTATTGTTTACAAGCTTGTTTGTAAAGCGTTTGTGTAAAATATTTCATCTACAGTCGAGAGAAATGTTAATTGGCAATTTTACAATGCAATGATTTATCTGTTGTGCTATTGCCTACCTGAAGAGTGGTACAAAGTTCTGATTAAGCGATTACACAAGACGTTAAATTGCATAACATCTCTAATGTTTTCTGCATATTTTAGCATAAAAAGTAATCAAAACCACACTGGAACGCTGTTTCGTAGAATGTTTTATGCTTTTTGTGATCTTTGCTAATGCTAAGAATGATAAAAGCCTAGGTAAAACATTTCTTTTGTATACAAAGGTAATATAAATATCATATTTTAGGTGAAAAGCAATTTATGTTAATGCAATGATTGTACGAAATGCAGTATCCGTCATTTTATTGTGTTACTGGAGTTGTTAGTGGTGTAAATGTAGTTACTGAAGGCTCATCGTAAAACATTCAGGTTTATTTTAATAATGAAGAAATTATTCAGTCGCCATTCGTGATAAAGTGAGATTTGTTTCATCAACGTAGACATTTTTTTATGAAAGCAGCTCTTTCAACAGGACGTACGAATACACAAAATCGCTTATTGAACAAGAGACGGATTGTTAAAATGCAGACGTATTTTAGAACCATTTACAACGCTGTTGTCTTGCACATACACTAGTTAGTTCCTTATAAACTTCTCGTATCAATTATAGATTGGAATAAATCTATTAATTGCAATCATCGGTGAATAAAACTGCAATTATGTCAAAACTTTTGTAGCATAAGGAAATGAAGTAGAAATATAAACATACATGTATATACATACCTTCATCATACCTGCCCTGGGGACAGTCTTTCCTTCCATCCATTCGTTTACTGTTAGGTACACATGTACCATCTATACATCGTAGTTCGTTATCTCCGCAGAACCACTTGCAGGTTATACCTGAAATTGTATTGTGGCAAATAAACAGGTTTAATATTCTTCTTTATCTCGCGGTCACAATTCGCTTCTACATATTATAAAAATGTATAAATAAATCATCATATAGTACAAAAGCAAGAATTCAAACATCTGAAGTTTTATTAGGAATTTCATCTTAAGAACATGGCATTTCAGCGAACGGAACAACCTTTGATTAACACATTCTTTGACATACCACATACCCGTCCCTACATACTCCTTGGGTGAGGACGAAAAACATACATCTCTAACATATATCTAACAATTCTTCCCTTAGTACTTTATACCCCTAAATACTTTGGATATATGGTGTGATTGACATAACCTTATATATTACTGCCACCAATTACTTTACCAATCATCTTACAAATACAGTGGAGTTAATTACTATTGCAGAAACCATTTACTTACAGTCTATATCTATATAGAAATGTTACAATGATCCGACCTAAATACTGTCTATTTAGAATAGGTACCATGCACGGTTTATAATAAATCTTCCTATGAAATTTGGGTCATGTTCAACTGAAGAAATACATACATCCTACTCTTCTATTAACCACACCTTGTACATGTATGTGTTCAAGTCATGAATGTTTTTTAACGTTATTCGTAAGCAAACAATAATCAATTCGTGTAGCGTTACACGTTTTACAGAATGTATATTTAGTAAGAGAATAATAATGAATCTGCTTTTCCGGTAGTTGCCATTCTCGTTGATAGCTTTAAGCTGTATTCATATTTATCCCATGGCTACTCGAATATCACAATCGTGCATTTTCCCACATTTTAACAGTGCAATGACCGATTAATATAGCCACCTGCACAATCAAAATTACATTAATACGAATGATATTTACAAGTATGATTAACAGGCTGAGGGTTTTATTCATAATATGTATCTTAGTTATTGAAGTGTTGAAAAAATATTATATCATTTTTTTATAGTTTTATTCATTTTTTACATTTTTAATTTTTTTTTATTTATTTATTTATTTATTTTTGGGTATCAAATTATGTACTTTTTACATTAATCATTTAATGCAGGTGAGTTTGCGCTTGGTTCTTTCAAACAGGTATATGTAAGAGCTTCCTATCTACCTGAAATTCCTGTGTATTACATAAAACATCTATTTAGAATAAAATCGATAGAATGTATATGCTGCAGCATAGCAGGAACATATGAGTATTAATGATTTTCAGGTAATCACTCTCACAATTATGGTGTACACATAATTACTCGTAATCAATGGAGAAAAAAGGAGAATAAGTAAACCATGGATTACGCAAAAACAATAAACCCATTTTTCCCTGATATGTTTAAATAATGCCTTGTTTAGTGAACTTTCATTTTTTTTTGCAAACAATGTATTATTGAAATAGAATATTAAAAGTTATATAAGAAAAACAACAAAAGACACGTATACACACAATAAGTCTTACATAAAAGTACTCTGTTGGGATCTATATTCATGGTGTTAACGGGCGTTTTAAGTTTATATACTCGAACTTATAATAAAAACATTATGAAAACCTGGAATATACTGGTATGATTTACTTAAAATGATTGATATGCGGTGTAAATTTCTGAATATAGATTTTGATATAAAATTCAATTATATTTTACCTATTTTTCTATTTTTACATGATCGAATCAACTATGTGTGTAGTTGATAATTTGCCCACTGCGACGGTTGGCTCTATTCTCAAATAGAGAATGCCATATAATGCCTCTCAAATGCCATAAAAGAAATCCATTTTCATTTCATAAATATGGTAAACCATAAAAAGAATATTTGAATTTTGTATTTTTCCTCCACAAAAAAAGGAATGAATGAAAGAACTAATTTTTTTTCTCAATAAAACGCTACACAATAGATTTATATAAGTAAAAGGCTAGATATGCAATAGTTAATAATAATTATATATATTTGATAAGTGTCTTCAATGAAACAATCATTCATGTTGGTTACTTGGCAAATATATCAACTTTAAATGTATATATGTTATTTTGCAATGAATTAAAACAACAACCAAACAAAGAAAAAAGAAAACACTGTTATTTTATGTCAGTAAATAACAGAACAGAACAGAACAGAACAGAAATTTTATTTGAATCTAACTTGAACATTTACAGTTCATCGTTACATACAACCAATTTTTACATGCACATACTAATAATGATAATATCATATTATAAACATGCAAACAACTTTACATATTTCATCAGATCATAACAAAGAATTTAATTCATTTGTTCTTAATTTAAAAGCATTTCTGCAAAACAGAGCCAATTTGTTTAAGACCTTTACATTTGTAGAATTCAACAATTGTGTGAGTTTGAGCATACTCGGGTGTCTATGATAATACCTAGGAATATACTGATTTCTAAGTAAAGCATACATTGGACATATTAAAATAAAATGGTATTCGTCTTCAATATCATTACATTGGCACAGTGTACATTTTCTATCGTTTCTATCTATATTTCTATGTCTACCAGTTTTCAATATGTAGGTCATGTGAAGAATAAACGTATTTTAGCTAAAATATTTCTTAAACTACGACATTTCATTTTATTTATATATTCGGACCTTTGAAAATCTGGCTTTAATTCTTTAAATAAAAACAAAGATGACTTGAACAAATATCTTGTCTCCAATTATTTATATACATGTCAATAATTCTAGTACGAAAAATAGGAACAAACATATTAATATTTACCGAAGAAGGATACATCCATACTTCGTGAAAACCAGTGTTTTGTAGTAAATCTCGGACTTTAGATGCCCAGTTCACAAAGTTACAATTTTCAGCTTCATATCTTAAAGTGTTCATTGTGCTTGATAAAATACAGTTATAATCCTTTTCAACATACAACTTTAGGAAATATTTAACAATTCTAACTTGTCTAACTACATATAATGGATATCTACCCAATTCACCATATAATGCAGAATTAGCAGTAGACATTTTAACATTGAGTATCCATTTCATGAATTTTCTATGTATACGTTCTATATTTTCCGCTTTTTCAAACCCCCATACTTCACAAGAATAATTCAATATAGATGCAACATATGAATCGAATAAATTTAACATAATATTTACAGGAACTTCAATGCATTTTGTAATACTAAACAATGAGCCCATAGCTTTAAGAGCTTTATCAGCTAATGTTTTTGTTGCTGTCTTAAAAGATCCACCACTAGATAACACAATACCTAAGTAATTAAAACTTGAAACAAATTCCAATTCTTCCCCGTCGTAATAAATATGTTCATTTACATTGATCATTCCACCTTTTTTAAATACAAGAACCTTCGTTTTATTAACATTTACTTTTAATTGCCATTTATTACAATAGTCTTTTAAATTATGTAATGAAGTTTGAAGCCCATGCGCCGTCTCTGAGAAAATGACTGCATCGTCGGCAAAAAGTAGTAGGTATATAGAAAGTTGCTCTAATGTCAAACAAGAACTATCATCTTTTTGTAAAAACAACTCAATATCATTTACGAATAATGAGAAAAGTATCGGAGAAATTATCTCCCCTTGCAATAATCCAACATCACATTTGAAAAAATCAGACAAGGTATCCATATGACGTACACATAATTTAACATCTTCATACAGAGACCTGATTACACAAAATAAGCGTCCATTTACACCATATTTTATCAATTTTACCCATAAGGCATTTCTGTAAATAGAATCAAAGCATTTCATAAGATCAACAAAACAGCAATATAATTTCTTTTTTTGTTTTAATTGTCGTTCTATAAAAGCATGAAGGAGAAATATAGCGTCTACTGTGCTATAGTTACATTTAAAACCAAATTGTGCATCGGTGAGTATATCATTAATATCAGCCCACTTTTTTAAACGCTCATTAATAACAACAGTAAATAATTTTGCAAAACAGCTGATTAATGTTATACCTCTATAATTAGTAGGTTCACTAGAATCACCTTTTTTAAAAACAGGTATAACAACTCCCTGTGACCATGATTTGGGAAAACAACCCGTTTCTAAAATATGATTGAACAATATTTCTAAAGGTTTGTCTAAAATATCTATACCTTCTTTAAAATACTCGTACATAATGTGGTCAAAAGAGCTACTTTTATTTGTTCCTAGTTTTTTGATAGCTTTTCTTATTTCATCAGTCGTAAAAGGTACATCAAGCTCCTCAAAAGTAGAGTTAAAATTTGCATTTTCATCAAAAATATGTAAAAATCTTCAATTTCGTCATCTTCCGCAACAGAAAAATTCAGATGCTAAGTTCTTAAAATGATTATAAAAATCATCCAAATCTATGTTTTCATCAGACACGGTTGATTTACTTTGACGAAACATCCTCCAAAATTCTTTTGGCTTTTTTGTTTCTCAATTCATTCATTTTTGCAGCTTGTTTTCTGTCAAAGTTCCGTTTTACTTTTCTACAATGATATTTATAATCCTTCTTTTTTAAATATAATATTTCTCTATTTTCTACAGATTTGTTAGCATTAAATTCTAAAACAGCATTTTTATATACAGTATACTTTTGTTTACAGCTTTCATCGAACCATTTATTCGTTTTATTATCGTTGAAACATGCGTTAACAGTTGCCTTACAACAAGTTTCAAAATACGCATTACCTCTTTCAGATAAATATGTTGTAAAAATATTAACCATTTCATCTGGATTCTGGTTATTTTGCTTGGATTCATTTAAGTTTTGACAAAGCATTTCTATGTCTCGCGAAATATCGTTTACAAATTCCGTCCTATATTCTGGATTCCATTTATAAATCGTGCGTTTACGCGGATTCGTTACGACTGGCACGGTCCTTACTTTCACCGAGAATGAAATCGGGGCGTGATTTGAGTGTGCGGTCAAATCATGAACACGAAACTCTGAAATATTTTCAAAATTGCATGCTTTTGTTAACAAATAATCCACTACACTATTCCCGTTATACGTATAACAAGTAGGTTTCCCGAGATTCGCGTCGCTATCCAACCGTCCGTTTACAATGCGTATATCGGTAGATTTACAAAGATCAAGTAATTGCTCCCCAAACCGGTTTGTACCACGATCAGTCGTCGTCCGCGGAATAAATGTATCCATAGCTAAATAATCATGATCATATAACAATATATCATAATTTATACAGTCAGATTTTGAACCAATTCTCGAGTTTGTATCTCCGCACACATATACCATTCCTTTATTTTCGTAACAATTTATATCATTCTCTAATTTTCTAAATATATCAGTATCATATAGATTATGAACAGGTGAACTTTCTGGGGCAATATATATGGAACATACATAGATATCTTCTGGTACCTGGAAAAAATATTTATCCAGTTTCAACCACATAATACAATCAATGTCATTTCTGACTAGTTTAACACCTTTTATGATCGACCTTTTTACATACGCTAAAATGCCCCCACTGCTCCGTCTGGCTCGTTTATTCTGAAATTTTCTATAAGAGTGAAAAAGTTTATACCCATTTAGTTCTAAATAACTAATAACTAAAGATACTTGGTTATTTATTGTCTTGGATGTTACAGTCTTTCGGTAAATATCGTTTGCAATAGTTTATCATGATTGTAAATTATCCTGCAGCCTTGATGATAGTGAAACCATATTCGTGATGATCGTAACATCATTTTACATAGTTTATTTCGGTACTTTCGCAAACATAATCTTTTAATACTTACTTTTCTTTAGGAGATTCTTTTCCGAGTGAACAAACGGTGTACATTAATTATATAAACGTTGCCCTCTCTGGGTTTATTTATTATAATGCAGCCTGATCGAAGGGAAAAAATATACGAATACCTGTTTGTATTATTAGTGATTAAGGGGAGAAATCGCACGGCTTAATGTTTTTTATTGCTTCCAGGCATAAATATTGATGAATGAACGAGTACATCACATGATGGGTCAGTAATTATGGTGAAGATAAACACATAGAGAGTATACTAGTTATAAACCATATACACATAACGGTATTGTTTTCACCAATATAAACATAACAAATAAGATACCAATTTACATAGCAAGCCAGATGAATACATGTAAGTCATTTTTCCATGATACAGTATAATATAATAAGAAAGAAAATATTTCTTCAATGAAATAAACTTGTATATTCATGTTGGCAAATATATCAACTTTAAATGTGTATTTTTTTTATCTTTGCAATGAATTAAAACAACATACAAACAAAAACAACTGAAAACGACAAAGAAAAAAAACACTGTTATTTTATTTATAATAATTTACATTTAATAAGGAAAAGATTTGTATGCTGTTTTTATTTGGTTAACTATTAAGATTTATGTTATGTTGTTGTGTTTTTGTCTGATTTTTTACTTTTTTATTATTTTTTTTTATTTATTTATTTACTTATTTATTTATTTATTTTGTCTTAGCTCTTGGTAAATAGTTGTACAAAATATTATAAAATCGACTCATTATAAAGTTACACTAAAAGGAGAAGAATTTTATAAGACTTAGTCTTTCGTTCTCATCCTTTTCTTTGAATATATTATATATTTGTATTCTGATTGTATTGTATTATGTATATCATGTAAATATTCGGGAAATAAATATGTTTAAACTAAATAGTTTTAAAAAGGAAGAATAGATTACAATACAAACACATAGCACATAGCATTCTCTGTATTCTCCATTATTCTTCATGAAATGATCATTATTAATTTATCTATATTTAAGCTTTGTTTGAAGGGCAGGAGAACGATACATTATAAAAGGGGAACGGAACTTCATTTCGTTATCATATTGGCGTTGTATCACAATGATACTATCTGAAAATAAATATTCTTTTGCAATCGTTTTTGTTTCTGTCCCTGTGCATTGTAAACAATTTAAAATGATACACTTTTTTCACATATTATATTAAAAATTATATCTTTACACGACTCTTTTAAAAGATCGAATGAAATAAAGTTAGTTAGACTTTGTTATTAATAATGTCCATTTATCTTGATAACATACATATAGATGTGTACATCTATGTTATCAATTAACAAGACAAATATGCCAATGATTTCCTATTAACAAATGATGTATATTAAGATTTCATCTACCTGAATACAGTTAAATAATCAAATAATATCTTAATCGTAGCTGGGCATGTCTAACGTTAAGATAATCTTTCACATCAGAAAATTTGAAACATAAATTAAAAGTGCTCCATTGAAGTCTCACAGCCTGAAACAGGAAATTTGAAAGTATTATCCGATCAATTTTGGCTCTACAAACGATCAAATATACAAACTGATACAAAAAATATGAGCATTAAATTTGTGCGATTCTTATTTTTCTCATTTCTGATTAAACTACTTTTATTGCAGAAATTTATTGAAATTATGTAAAGTCTTCCTGAATATGTCTAATTTGAGTAAGTGAATGTATAAACTGTGTTTGGGAAGCTGTATTCCCTATCAAGGGACAGGACGTGAAGCGGTTGCACACTTGGTTCAAGCGAGCGAATTAGTTGCAAACTTGACAAAATGGCGAACAAGGCGTGATTTTTTAAAACGGGTGAATGAATTTTTGCCAGGCATGTGGGTTTCTTTGTTATTTTGAAGTTCATTAGTATGTCTATTCCATAATGCAATAAATATGCCACACTCGGTTAAAGGTTTCAGCAGCCTAGATTCTGTTTTGTCGAAGTTATTGAAGATATTAACTGATCATGTAGAAATTTTGAAATTTGACATGTAACTGTTCTGGTCGGTTTTTCTCCTAATCTATTCGAATTTGTAAGTTTTGAACTGCATTTAACAATAACAAAATATGTTTCTGTCAATGCTGTACAAATGGTTTAGTTCGCTAGTCCGAAGATAACGTTCAATACACAAAATTTATCTTGTTCAAGCACATTTTGGTTGCAGACTTATACTTCAAGCATTTTTGGTTACATATTTTTTTCTGTGTGTATTCAAAAGATGTTTATTTTACTTTTTTTAAAGAGACTGTATAGACGTAATACTCAGTCAATTCAAATATGAAATTTGAGTGTTATATATATCTTTAAGGTTAAACGTTTTTCATTTGCGGACTTTTTTCATTATCATAACGATTATTATAGGGGTGGGAAAAACTGGAGTGATGGAATGATCTGATATATTTTACAGAAGTTTTGATTCATACCTACATCAAATAGTACAATATATATATATATATATAGTCATGTAATGTCATAAACACACTTAGGTAGAGACCCTTTTATAATGAAAATGATGATGAATGATATAAAAAAACGACAACAATTTCAATTTAATTAAGAAAGAAAAAAAAATAAGTAATGATCACGATTCTCAGTTAAGAAAAACTAAAATATGTTCATACCTTCAATTAGCAGCAACAAAGGAAACAATGTCTTCAACATTTTACTTCTCTCTGATACACCCTCTATTGTTTTAATCTACATTCCAGAAAAAATATCTAAGTGTCTGAGTTGAGTGCCAAACAATTTGTCTTCACTAAACAAATATAATTATGTAATACCATTGTGCGGTTTTTATCCGGTTTAATCCAATTTGAACACAGCACCGTATTTATTAGTTAATGTTAAAAGTTGAGATACAAAGTCAGGACCTTTATTTCCAAAAATTCAAAACGCATATTTATTTTTGGTCATCTTAGATTTGATATAATTAAGAAAATTAATTACAAAACATTAAATCTCGTGTATGATCTATCATTATTTGCAAAAAATCAAACAGAGTTATTGTGTTTTAACCGTTTTCAGTATTGTTATTTACCATGCTTATACATTACTCAATATCCACTGTTACTATTATTTATCTTTCTTGTAATATTTTCATCTTAAAAGCTTTCATTTATCACAATTGCAGATTATTACGGTAAAGATTAATACGGCAAAGTATATTCCATGTATTCACGCAAGCAAGAACACTAATGTTTAATCTTTAAAAACTTTCTTCATTTCACATCAGCGAGTAAGTTCCAATACTTGAAAATTTAGAATTATGTAGATTTTTGTCGAATAATTCACGTGCGCGTCTTGTAATAAGCGCGCGTGCGTGTGTACAGGTATTAGAGCAGTTTGTTTATCATCTACCTATGCTGCGTTATCTAGAGAGAGTCTAACTATACACGAAGTCAAACGAACATTCAGAGAATACTGTTATATTATGAATAATGGATAAAAAAGAGTAATTTTATAATATGGATTTATTTTATATGATTAGGTCTACTATATTGTTTTATTGTTAATATTGTAAGATCTTCTTATTACCATATATATTATAGAGTTATTTTATATATAAACCAGTAAATTCCCAGATATTATCTATAATGCTCTACGTGCTGAGGTAATCACAGTTTTATCGCATGATTTAATAAAGAACATACATTCGGGTTTTCTTAGTATGCTACTGTAAATACGTATGTTAGACGTTATAATTACATATGATGAAACAAAGAAAATCACAAAGAAGAAAGAATTTGCACACTATATAATATCTAAACAATTACAGGGAACTAATATGTTAAATTATGTCAAACTAATAAAGTAAGTTTTCAAAAGGTAACACAGAGATAAACAAACTGACTTCAACAATAATCAAAGTTCAACAATTTATGATACTGACGAACAAGGAAGGTATAGTAACACTGACATGTAAAATGAGCAAGGATTTTACTGATTTCATACATCAATTTAAACACTTTTACGGTAATCTAGAAGAAAAGAGAGTTTCTTTATCATTATAAGCTTGATACACTACAGAAAATGACAAATGTTACAAAACAAATATTTTCTATGAAAGCTTATATAACATTACAATCTGTCGATATAATGCAAAAAGGCAATGTCGGTTCTTTGTTTTTTGTTGATAGATGTATAAGTACTTAATACACTGTATTATAGGTATGCTAACTTCTCTAGAGTTTATTGTTTTATTGTTTTTATCATTCTGTTTTGTAACACATCTATGTTTCTGTTTTTTCCGGCTATTGAAGTTACGGTTTGTGGCATCTTGGAGGAAAAACAAACATTTCTGATGGTAAAAGATAAAACTTTCCAACAAGAGAAAAAATGTTTGTCGTATGATTGAAGTCGAGAATAAGAAAGGCATATTTGAATTAGTAAAATGTCATTTTGGATGTTTTTATTAAAGTTCACTTGGTCGTCGTTTTATGTATGTATTAACGTTAAGGGAAGATAACTGGCCAACTGGCCGATTAAGAGAGTTTAATTGATCAATCAACTGCGGAATACAGATGCATTCTCAACAATTGAAAGATACGTACAGAATAATTAAAAACTGATTAACTTTTGATAAAAAAGTTCAGGTCTTTTAGCTTTGGTTTATACAGAATTTACTTAAGTTCGATTGTGTAGGAAGCTATAAGCTTATAGATACACTTTCGAAAACCGCATGGTTTTAACAATGTTGGAATCTTCTGAAATGATAGCAAATGACGTAAAAAAGGCGTATTAGATTTATAAGAAATATTCTACACGAAGTCTGTGTATATTCTCCTTCATTGAGATAGAGTGATACTAAATTATTTCTTAAAACTCCATTTATTCAACCGTTACTGTTACCGCTAAATAGTTTAGATTTGATTGTAAATCTTTCAATATGGACGTTTTAAGGATACTACTTAATAGAGAAAGTGTAAAGAGCGGAGCTTTTGATATCACGGCAAAAAAGTGTCGGCTAACCTTGATCTGCACTTGTAACATCCGAGACCACCGTGTATTTGAAAGTGTTTACAAGTCATGTATAAAATAAAAAAAAAAGTCAATTAACAGAAGGGTAAGTTACAACATTTGAACAATAACAAAGTACAGAAGAACTGATGTCAACAAATATTTTAGTCCAACCTTGACCAGAACTGTAGGAAATACGTAAGCGAAAAGGCATACATATTCTTACAGCTTTGTACCAATCGAAGTATTCTTTTCATTAGCATTTACTTCATTGAGTGTTATCTATGGCCTCCATTGGCAAATTGTTTACATTGTATGTGGCCATTATCGTAAGTGAATTGTTGTAATGGAGAGAGAAACAACAAACAGGTGAAGCTTTGTCAATCATAGTAACATATTTACAGTGTTCTGTTGAAAGGAATATCCATTTTATATTTCTCACACTATTTTCTGAACGCAAAAGAGAATAAGCAGTATAAGCTATATATGTAATTACCCGAGGAAAGACTTCGGTGGTGTGAATCAAACTCGTTAATATTATTCATAATTACGCTATGATGAACTTATTATGACGCATTGCCTAAACCTAAATTACCTCTAATAACGGGTAAATAAAATTATTATCCGATTACCTAGTAATGTTTAGCATATGCCATAATTTGAAACTATTGACATGCATTTGCATTAATTCTTATTTAACATTAAAATTGTTAATCTTAAAATATGTGCAGTTTACTTCGACTGACTTTCCGTTTAAGTACAAGTGCCATACTCGAAATCTGCCCATCCCGTCCCAAAATACACACCTATAACTAAGTAAAATTGCCAGTGACATGTTTAGATACCAGCTTATGCATCGACAGACATATTACTGTAATACGTTTATGGAAAATGTAAATACTCATGAAACACAGCTTATTTAAAGATAAATCTTCAAAATACCACAGCCTCATAAGGTCATAGAAGTTTTATCGTGTGGTCCATAGAAATACCAAAGCAAATTATTAAAATAACAATTCGATTGAAACATAAGTAATTTACGTACTGATGGAAGACAGTTTTTTATAAAGATATTTTATTAAAAACATAAAGTCTAATAGTTTTAGGTTCTCACTCGTCAAATAAAAAATTTCTAAAATAAAAAACGTTCTGATTGAAGTCATGCAAAAAGCTATTATACCCACCCATCACAATGACCATGCCACGCTTTTACTTCTGTGAATTATTTTTTTGGCTAGAGAATTATCTCGTGCGCGCTTGAAGCAAAAATTGCGAATATCTAGAAGTATTTTTTTTTAAGAATTTCCTTCAAGTTTGTAATAATACTTTTATAAAACGCCAAAATGATGAGTACTCGTATCAAAAACATGATTCTTTTTTTACAAGATTTTGTAAAGTTTTGTACTGAATGACTGGAATGGTACAGCGCTATATCGATGAGCTCATGGATTATGAATCAATGTATTTCTTACCATTTGCAAGTAGAAATAACGGGCATAGAAAGGGGATACATCTCTTTCCATTAACCAAAACACGTATTTATTTCGACTAAGTATTACTATTTCAGCGCATACTTTTAAACTATTTGATTTTTTAGTTTCTTTAAGTCATATACTAATTTTTACAGTAAATATTTATTTATATTGTATGAAACATAACAGTTAGATTTTAAGTATACCAATATAATTGTAATGGAATGATAAGTGATGTATAATTTAAAACAATGAGCGTGATAAAAAGGTTAAAGACAGGAGTAAATGTATCTTAATCAACATCCACTTTAATCTCCATAGGGCTTTCATTTCATTAGAAAGATATTATTTACTGTCAGCCTTTTTTTCTGATTCCTCCGATACCAATTTTTGTAAGAGTGTTTATAATTATCAACATAATCATTTTCAATCTTGTTGACGTGCATGTTAAACAACACTTCATCAGTTGAACAGGTACAAGTCGGCATCTTGTATGTAAAGGCAGTTGCAGAAATGTTTTTCTTCATTTTTCAGCGGCATACGAGATATAAGCAGAACTTGGGTGGATAATATCAAAAGCACACAGGGAGTTTAATTTACAAAACTTGCCATAACCTTTCATATATCTATAATATTTCAGTATTTTCAAGCAATTTATCTCAAAATATAATATCTAATTCATATTAGAAACAGTTATATCTAACAAAACCACATATTCTTCAATAAAGAAAAAAGAATAATCCTATTATATAAAAAGAACGTAATAACTTAATGCACTTAATGAACGCAGAGAAAAAAAAATCTAAAAATGGATACAGAACTGATAATTCTATCATACCATGAATTGTTGTTTGTTGTTTTTGTCTAACTTTATCAAAAAAGATACGATACAGTCAAACCTTTCCTTGACAGAATGATTTACCTCGTAATTCGTCACGCTTGCTATATTGTTTACATCGACATATTTCCGAGGGAGTTATGATAATCATATTATTCTACTAAACACAATAATGGTGTTAACATTATTATCATTACGAGAACAAGCCTACTTATTTTTCTGTTAAATAACATTATATATTGAAGCATCAATATAACGGAGGCATAGAGAGCAATATAGAGTTAATAATAATAATAATAATAATAATAATAATAATGCTCGTCTGTTACGTTACTTTTTTATTCGACGATTGTGACGTTTATAAAGTTTTAAAAAGAAGAAAGTTTGCTGTATTGAAAATTCTTTATAACGATTCCTGATATGTTATATGGCCGTACATTTACTGTTGTTTGCAAAATAACCTTCACAAGCGCCCCGGTTTATATAGGAAACAACTGTTCATATGGGGCCATCTAACCTGTAAGTAATAATATACATGTCTAAAATACAAATTCTGAATAATGTAAATCATGAAACAAACCAACTGTTCAAACTATATCCGATTCTTCATCTTTTCAAGACTAAGATATCAAATAATGTGTTTAATGTGTGCAATTATCGGTCACCTTATACAATTTTCCCTTTTGAAGAATATGTAGTACAAACAAGTAGATTGAACTCATTGTGAGTGCGCAAATTTAATTACTAAGTGTAACATTTTATGTTTTTAGTAGATGCATGTGTGTAGCTGATATTGAATACAATGGGATGTAACCACGAATGATTCATAATATCGTCATATTTTAAATTGTCTCCCTTATCGGTAGTTTGTCATATTAACGAAGATTGTAGGAATGTCCTAATATATTTATTGTGGCAGGGTTTTATATAATATGTCCATGACATTTTCTTATTGCTCATCTTTCCTCAACATTACAAGAAGCAATCTCAGTTGAATATCAGGAAAAGGAACTTTTAACTGCTATCGTCGCGCTGTATTTTATGCTCGTTCGCCCAAGTAACACTTAAAATAATAACCATAAAAAACATAGATTATGTAACCCTCGGAATGCAACCTGATGCTTTTAAACAAGGATATTGTTACCTACATTTTGTAATAAGGAATTTACTCTGAACAAACAACTTATCAAATACACATAGACCGTTGTTGTAAAATAAGGTATACAAATATTAAAAAGTTATCTATTAAAATGGGATCCTGATTAGAAGATAAGTGTTTGAGAAGGCAGTACTTTAATAAATGGACACTACGCTTTCCTCTCTTGATTACATCTCACGGGCAAAGTAGGAGACTATGATGAGCAGTCATTAACATTATTTTTGGTATTCAAATGTCTTCAATGTCGGGACTAAAAGCGGGAATTGAGGTTTAAACTAAAGAAATATATTTGAATTAAAAGTTGAGCTGACAAAAAAAACAAAAAAAAACAACAACAACAACAAACAAAAAATGAAAAAACAACAAAGAAAAACATGAATTTCAAAAGCTTCAATGTTTTGGTGTTTCCATAACCTTACTGTCATTTCTATTTTAACTTTAGTGTAACATAAGATTATCAACAAAAGAGGAATGCAATCGCCAGTAAGTAAGTAAATAACAAAAGAGGAAGAAGTTAGTGGAGGTTAAAGTGACGGTAATTTGATGTTACCCATATAGAGTCAAAATACTTTACTCCTTGCAGCGTAAATTGTTTATTACCAGTTTTTGGTGTAATGTAGGTAGGTGTATTATAAAGGATTATAAACAAGATTACAATTTGATACTGTACGGTAAGGTTGAAAAATGTATTAATATATTTATGAATATTATGTCTATGCTAAATTGACATCACATTTGAAATGTCCAGTTCTCAATTGATATGTTTTGATGATTAAATAGTCGATAACTGTGTTTTCCTATGCATTTACGTCATTTTACCCTTGTTAACTATATCGGCGTTTTGCGTTTCTAGCGATATCATGGAAGAAACATGCGATTTTTAGCGGGTTTTCTACGTTAATATTTAGTTTTTAGCAAAATATATACGATGACTAACTGCGCTTTTCTGCCGTGCGCCGGGTGCCGTGTATGTGCTTATTTAAAAGCAATACAAAATCATTATTTATTGGCGTAGGAAACTGTTCCTTTTAAAATGTGTTGATGATATTCTACAAAGTTAGCTGATAAAATTTCCTCATAATACACATTGACGTTCAAGAGATTTTTAAAAGTCCACGAATTTTTGGATAATTCCACGTATGTCATATGTTACCGTCAAATAATTTATACATTTATCTAAATCTATATGTAAACGTATAGCTTACTTTCAAATATTAAAGAAAAATACTATTTAAGCTGTTTATATAATAGTCTGTTATCAAGAGCACAAATCACTGCCGGGTACCGCTTCTGCAGAAAGTTTCCGTCTGTAAAGGAACGAATTAATGCGACAGCATATTGCAAAGTTATAAAAAAGGTTCATTTAAAGGAACTCCACTGACGTTCAAATGCCTAAAACATAAAATTTGAGTTTCTCACATAAATTAGCTGGGGTATTCAAACCAGAAAATATGCAAAAGATGATTAAGAAATATACTAAAAAAATTGAAAATCGTATTGTGTGCTATTCCAAGTATTATCCGGGTGTAAAGCGTTATAACGCTGTTCAATTTTACGTCATTTTTTTCAGTATTTGAATGATTATTGAGGGAAAACAGAGTGAGCGGATGATCTTAACTTTTTTCGACGCAAGAATTTTTTCAAACTCTACATCAAATAGAACATTAATCTCGAAAAAATATTTTCAGTTCCGTCAAGTAAAAAAAAAAAAGTCAGTGGAGTCCCTTTAAGAAATCAAGTGTTGACTAAATGCATTAAAATCGTTGCAAAAATAATATTACTTCAGCCTTAAACGTCTCAGTTTGATCAATCGTTTTATACTGGACTTTTGTGCAGTCAAGTTTACAAGTTTCAAATTTTAATTTAGTAGTAATTTGATACACGGTAGCTTCCTGGTTATCTTTGTAAATCTTTTCAAATATTATACTAATTTCTGCATTAAATAGAAAGCTTTATGTCAGGATTTTAAGAAGTTTATTGTATACGCTCCATTTTAAAATATTTGCATTGCCTTTGCTTAATACTGTTTACCTTCACATTGCTTTAGACACAAAATTTTCAAAATATTTAACAAGGTCACGAGAAGGGGTTATAATTTTTAAAATCATTATGTATTTATACAGTGAATGTAGTTTGAAAAGAGTCACCGGCAAGATGAAATTATTTGAAAAGGAATTGTTAGTGTCAGTCTGTACATTTAACTGAGAAACATGGAGGAAGCTATACTGGTAGCTTGCAAAAAGGTCGATATTTTAACTTGATGGCTTGCTAAGGTCATATATAAACTGCAACAATTTTTAACATGCCATTTTTATTTATTACTTAATTGATATTTAATAAGATTTCACGGATAACGAACATAATAGTTATCTAAAATAGACAAGTTAAATGTCTCTTTATTCATATTTAAGAACATTTTATAGAGATGAGGAACACATAGTTCATAAAAATGTAATGTATTTAGATGCGTTAAGTGAGGTTGCCATACATTCAGAAGGATTGATATTACATAAATATTCCATCCCACTGCGGGTGATAGAACGAAATATTCACCCGAAACTAGTGACAAACCGAGGTGTAAGCCTCGGTGAACATTATCATATCAATAGGATAATAGCTTGTTTTATCATTGGAAAATCTGGAAAATGATACATTCATCAGAAGCACCATAGAAAAAACAAAACTGTATGAATATTCGTTTCTGACTCCTACATTGTACATTTTATTTAAATATAACTGATACTTAAGGCGGTGCTAAGCACATGGACGTAAACTTTTATTTCGAATACTCTCAATATCATACATATTCAAACCAAAACTCATGAAAATTTTCGTTTCGTGGGACATAAACGCTTTAATTTTAATCCGTTTGTTTAGACAGCAAATTATGATATAAACAATGCATATGTATTCTTCACCGGAATAAATGTATTTAAACTTAATCAAATGAAAATTTGAACGTCGCCTGTAGGCGTAAAGGAGCTGGCACTTCTTAAATTGATATTACATTAAAGGTACACACATACGATATTGGCTATAACTATTTCCCTACATTTGTCTGAGTACGAACAAAATTTCCGTATTTAAGTTCAATTCTTCTTTAATTTTAGATATTATACATTGATGTTCTATAACAATAATTCCGTTTCAGTACGTGTGTGAATTCACAAACTAATATGATTCCAAGTATGAAACAAACAATATTTATACTAGCACGTTTTTCAAATTCATTTTAATTTACCTAAATTTAACTATACTCAATTAAGTTGAAAAATGTGATCTATGATAGCCTACGCATAGAAACCCCGTATATTTACTAAATTTCGTTAAGATAAATGTACAATGAACAAAATCAATAAATATTAAAGGCGTGAAGTAAGCAAAGTAGGTCTAGCGGCGTACCTTTGGTGGTCACAATGACTCAGATGATACAGTCTCCCAATGTTCCCAGTCACCCGTGCCAACTCAGTCGTCTATTCAACCGTCATCGTTTCAAGAGGGCAGCCTTCCGTGAATGCCAAAAAAGCCACCAAGACCAAAGACCAAGTCATGTGCGGCCGATACGGCCAAGAAAGTGGATCAAACCTTTGCTGAACAAATGGCGAGCACACAACGACTCCAGGAAAACTTGAGGAGGTAATGAAAGATTCTAATAGTCCTCACTGCTGTGGTACACTGGATTGGTTCAGAGATCCGTTTTTTTCCCGATGACCTTTAAGTAGGGTTTCAGAAGGAATCTTTTAATTTGCTTATGCGTTACAAGAACCAAGTACGTAATGTTACATATCAGTTCATGCAGCCTAGATAGTTTCAACAGCTCCAATGCACCCAGCATCTAGTGCACTTGGCATACCAAAAAAACCGTCTCAACAACAATGGCAAGGACCCTCGAATACAGGTGTACATAATCTGTCGCAGTCGTCAATTTGAGCCATCAACACGGTGGGCTTTTCAAGTCTACCCGGTGGTACTTCCAACTTTTCGACACCAGAGGCACCAACAACCGAATATAATACTGACCATATGATCATAAATGGTACTTAGGACTTACAAGTTGATAATGATAACAGGAACACACCATCGGCCACAGTTGACAGCTTTTACGATGAGAATATCATCTCGTGACTTCACTGCTACATGTTTTCTTTTACTGTTTTTAATTTCAAGTATTATTTGTTTGTTCATAACAGATATATTTACTTTTCCATGGCAGTGACATGTGCACATTTTATTTGACTTTTCAAGTTCAGAAATGCTTTATTACGCTTGAGGAGTGTGTGTTGCTCGCTGGTCATATCGTTTAGAGATGTAAAATTATTTGATTAGATACTGGTGATTGTTTGATTAAGAATAAGCAAAAAAAACAACAACTTATGATTCCATGTGGAAATATTTTGGGCATATCATATTTTCGATTAAGTATAGTTTTCGCCTTTGCTATTGGCAGTACTACTACAAATTAGTTACACGTATTTAGTAAATCATTTGCGTTCTTTTAATTGTTGCATTGTAGCAAATTGTGCTAATAATGACAAGCCTTAATAATATCTTACTTTTTTGTCATAATTTATATTTTTTCATGCATCTATTTGACTAGAAAACATTCTCATTACATAATTAAGCACGTACAATAACACGCAAATTTCAAGAATAATACCTTACGATGGTGTCTGATTTGTCAATAATCAGGCCGACGAGTACAACTACCATTATACACTTTGTCCTTTATAAGGAAATGATTAAATCATAGCATCCTGCCATGGAACTGCCCCACTATGTTATAGTAGGTTCTCTGCTGTTTTCCTTCCCTTGTTCCAGGATTACCTCTCGTAACGCCGTGCACATCTTGCATGCCTCCTTTATGTATCCAAGCGCCGGAAATCAACTCGTGGTTGCATCCTTCTCGGTCTATTACTGCGTTCTGAAGCGCAGGATACCGTATTCTCATCAGATTGTGAAAACAAACGCAGGCTAGTGACATTGACTGGACGGTTTGTGGTTCCTGCTTAAGTGTTGTCAGCAAACATTGAAACCGGTTCGTTAGAATGCCAAATTCATTTTCCACTATGTGTCGAGCCCTGGACAATCTGTAGTAAACATTATGTTTAAGAAACGATTGCATTTTTTAATAAGAGACTACTTATCATTTAATATGAACTACATCATTACCAATAAAGGAGACTGTTCAATTCGTATAATTTGATGCTAGGATCATTTTAAAATATGATAAACAAGATTAACAAGGAAAGGCGGCATTTTTTAAGACCAATTAACCCATTTGTAAGAGTGACTTTACAAGATGAGAAGATGTGTAAATGGACGCTAACTAACTTGTTCTTCATGTGTCATGTTACGGATGGCAAATGGCATCAACAACCAAGTTTTCAGCGGGAAGGCAGGCATCATCTCAAACAATAAAGTATGAAATATTTCTGTCGTCATCGGGTAGTGGCTCGGGTACAGGGAAATCAAGGGTACCACTTTCAAGGGCGACTTTTAAGCCCGACGCATTAAATACGGCACAGTCGAACCGTTGGCTCCTATGTCTACTCACATAACCTTATAGTCGGCATCAACCAGACCCAGTAGAATAATTGAGTGAAATCCCTTTTAAACTGAACCAGTGTGTTTCGGGGCTTTAATGGTGATGTGTTTGCTGATAGATAGCACC